AGGGGGCAAGGGGGGGGGGGGGTATTATTAAGGCGCAAATATACCATATCAACTCCCAACCCTTTGGAAAGTCAACTGCTGGAACAGCAATATCACGGGCCCACCGGATATCCTTAGTATATCGATGTTCTGTCCTCTCGTGACATGACCAAAACCATCGTCCCTTCGTTTAACTGTAAACATTTACTCAGCCACTGAGGAGGCTGATCCTAGTCAACAGGGGGCAAGGGGGGGGGGGGATATTATTAAGGCGCAAATATACCATATCAACTCCCAACCCTTTGGAAAGTCAACTGCTGGAACAGCAATATCACGGGCCCACTGGATATCCTTAGTGCTGGGACAGCAACATGACGGGCCCACTGGATATCCTTAGTGCTGGGACAGCAACATTACGGGCCCACTGGATATCCTCAGTGATGGGACAGCAACATCACGGGCCCACTGGATATCCTAAGTGCTGGGACAGCAACATCATGTTTATTATGTAAAATTATTATTTTCTAGAAGACTCACTCTTATAGAAGCATCATGCTTTACATATTTTTAATGAATATTGAAAGATTTTGATAATTTATTTTTAATTAAAATACTCAATTTCCCAATTTTAACCCACGATATTGTAAGGAAACCTTGCTTACTCTCTGACAAACTTCATCTAGATCTGGTACTCAATAAGGAAACAACTCCGGTGATACATTTGATGATTAAACTCGTGTTCTTTATTTGGTCTGTCACTTGCTTACACTTTCACTCATCTCCCAACTCTGACTTCTCCCTGCTATCTAGTTCTCAGTCCGGCCGCCTTCTCTTCTAACCATCCGGCCGCGCTCTTCTTTTTGTCCCGTCCAGAGTTCCTTATTTATAGGTCCCTGAGTCTGTACTTGCCCCGCCCCTTTTCTCAATCGGCGCCAGATTACAAACAGACCAGGGAAAGGCCCTGGTCAGATGGATGGTCGTGTCTGGGTGTCAGACGGCCGTAAATGGTCAGGCGTTTGATCCTTCGGTCGTGTCGGCCGTAATCCCTGATGGCCGGTAACCCTGCTGAGAGATCTGTCCGGCGCCGGCGCTCGTGCGTGGTCCGACTCTCCACAAGCTTGATCCTTCGGTCGTGTCTGGGTGGTCAGACGGATTACGTCAGGCGCCGTCGTGGTCCGAACTCTCCACAATATATACACGCACCTTCCAAAATTAATATTATAAATGCGAGTCAAGGTTAGACCATTTTAAGACTTGTAAAGGGGAATAACTCTCGTCAACAAGTTTTACTTTTCCCAGATAGAAATGAAAAACAACAAAAAAATTAGGTAAGCATCAGCCTCGCAGTAGTGTGGGGCGAGAACGTTTGAACTGGTTTTCACTTATGTGCATGGAAGAAAAAATCCTTAAGTGAGACCATTGACATTAAATGAATAATAAAGCAATTCTCTGCACACACAAAAATTACTTAAACGATTATGTTGATTTATAATTTATAGTTTATTTCTGACAATATTTTAAAACTATTGTAAATTTTGATTGATTTTGTTTTTTTATTATCTATACATTGGAATTATCGAGGTTTTAATTGAATCGAAATTAAGTTTAATTGAATGTTTATTTTTATTTTACATTTTTTTCCTCTTGGTGAGTTGGTGGGGAGCATGAATTGTTTGCCTCCCCTCCCCCCCCCCCCCCCCCGTTTTCGCCCGGGTCAAGAGCCCCCTCCCCCCCCC